TATCGCAATAAGCACTTGCGTTCAGTCAATAAAAATCTAATGTAGGTTCTTAATTTTTTTGAGAATTCAAACAAATTGCATTTCATTCCATTAATAGGCACGGCGACGTGGCCACATAACCACTTCGGGAGTGCATTATTTCTCTAATAATTTTAACGGCCTGGAGTCACAATCACACATCAATTGTTCAGATGGTTTGTTTCAAGACATTTGACATGTTTCAGTCCTGAAATCTCGTGTGTGTTGAACTAGCTAATTTTTCATAGGCACGTGCCTAGAATGCCTATGCGTAAATCCGGCCCTGGTAAACACAATGGAGAAGAGATGAACTATGCACAGGCTACTGTATTTTATTCAATACAAAGATTTAAATAGTTTAGAGAACATAACATCCATATACATGTCAGAGTAAGAAGCGAGTGTTTCAACAAATAGGCCGTTTGAAATTCTTTATGTCTACAATGTAAGGTTCAGAGTAGACGCCAGGTTTAATTTTCAAGAATAAAAACGAGACAGACGTGCAGTCCGTTCAATAGCCTATGTTGTACCGTAATTTTTACAACACGTTTTCCAGAATATTTTGTCACCAAATTATTTTTATATAAGAAGATTATTTTTATATATTTTCCTGAATGTCATCTGAATGATAGACATCCTACACGAAAGTAGGCTATTGAACGGCCTTTTCCCTCACCACCTCGTTTTCATTTGCGAAAAATTTAATATGGCGTCTAGTCTGAACAAGGTCCATAACAAGGATTTCGTATTGCAGCTGTGTTTGAAAGCTCGGGTATTTTAGTCACTGCAGATTCAGAATAGGGTTCTGCTTGCCTGCGCATCCACTATCTGTTAATTGAGGCGAGGGAGAGAGCAGTTACTAGACCTGTCAGTGTTAATCAAGCATCATCTCTTAACACAAGCCGCGCTTTGCAACGAGCTGAAGATTAATATTCCGACCGAAACAGATGATAAATCATTTGTACATAATTAGCGCTAGGCAAGGTTATAGCTGACACGAATTTTTATCTTAATTACGGGGGAAATTTGTTCCATTAATTTAATTTGTCCCGCACGGACGCGCCCGCGCCTAACAAAGTTAATCTTACACCTGTCAGTGTGCTGCTGAGGTAGGCTGTGTCTCCAAAGCTAGTGAGCTAACTCGCTGTCTACTGCATCCTAAACAGCATCCTTACCCGACATAACTTCGTGAGTGTCTGATTTGAGAAAAAACGATGTCTGAGTGATTCGTGAACAAATGGTTCTTCGAATATTTTTAGAAGTAGAATCTTTTCAATAAATCCGGTGAACCGGTTCACAAACCGATCCAAGCGATTCCTTCATTAATTGTATTTAATCGGTCAAAGAGGTTCTCGAGTCAACAACTCACTGAACCGAGAATCGACATAATGTAATGAGAACGTAATGAGAACAGAGTGAACTGATATTAATTATTAAAGCACTTGAGGGCTGGTCAGCTGAAGAATATCAGAAAAATAAAACCTACTGAAAATTAGCTGTAGCCTACCTAATCATTTTAAACATGTTTTATTTTTATGTTTTGTTTTTAACAGCAACCAAAAATCAACAGATACTTGAAACTAATTTGATTTTTAAAAATGCTAATTTAATTTAGTATAGCCTACTATAAATTATTTGTAAAAAAAAAAAAAAAAAAATTAACTTGGTTCTTTAGTCATGACTGGGAACAAATCTGGGACACATACAACAAAGAAAAACAAAGTAGGCCCTAACAGCAGTAACTTCTAGGCTTAGGGCGTTTGTTGGAAGATGTCAAAGGTGTTAATTACGCCATTAAATAAAAGAAAATCTGAGCAGTTTTGAAGTGGTTCTTTGCAACAAACTGTTCGAAAGAACCGATGTGCAGAAATGAGTTGCTGACTTTGCATGACTATAGCCTGCAGAGCGTCAAATAAAGTTTATGGCTAGTCAGCAAAGACTCGTTGGTTAAGAATGTCAACTTTCGCTGAAAACTAACGAATCGACATTGCTTCACACCATAGGCTATGTGTCAGGATGGGCTATAGTGTTTTCTGAGCATTATCTGTCAGAGCGTGGCGTTTTGTTTAGCTGGTTAAACAAACAATTCTGTTCATAAAGTATGAGTTCGATTACTTATTTAACAACAAACGATGCACTTGCTGACTTGATAATGAAACGGTCAAAATCGCCTCAGGTGAAACTGTAAGTAGGCCTAGGCTACCTCAAAAGGTTCATCAGCAAATGTGAAGCGGCAACCAAACTGTGGGACAATAGGCTACTGCTCTCTGTTGGAATTCGTATAGTTCAGGTTTGTCTTCTATACAGTTTGAATAACACAAAGGGTTTGATGACTTCTGACTTTATAGTTGTATCTCATTTTAAAGCAAACGAAATGGCTGTTTTGTGGAACAGACTCTAGTCTTCCATGTTCAACAATTAGTAGAACCGGTTCATGTACTCTTTTGTCCAAATCATCTGCAGAGTTTTGTCGCCATCTCCTGGACAATGTTGAAGTCAGCGCTTTAAAATACTAATACTAAGATACGCAAGTGTAGTTTGACTTCTCAGCATTCGATTTAATAACAATGTATATTATCATATAAATCTTCCAAATACAAGTTCAACTGAGAAAAAATGCCTTTATGAAATATTGCAATACAGATTTAATACAAACATGAAATAATGGAAAAAATAAACACTTTTTTTGTATTCAAAAACTTGTGCAGATTTATGTCCTCTCAAATACAAACAAAACGGCTTATATTATGAATTCTATGTAGTATATTAACACTTCATCATTTTGAAAACGAAATATGCTTTTATATATATGTATATATATATATATATATATATGCAGATTGTAGGTTACTGAACTTAAAATCGTTGCCATTGTGAATAATGCTAACATAAGAAACTGAGAATTTTGTTAAGATACTTACACAGCGAGGAACAAAGTGAGTTGCACCATGAAATGTGGCTCTTGAAGTGCAGTTGTTCAGCATGTATAATTTTCAGTGTGGAAACCATCAAGTATTTTAGCCAAGATTTTATTTACTATCAATTTGAAAGAGAGAGGCTTTGTACCTGTAGAGATTGTATCAATAAAAAAACCCCAGAAATTTCGGAAGAGATTAATCTCAAATCTTTTTTTATCAACCATGAAGGATATTTGTAAAAACACAAATTTATGCCTTTTAGCAAAGCCATTGAATGTTTTTTTTTCTAGATTGTTTGGTTTCTATTTAAGAGCAAATTTAAGAGCAAAACTTAAAATCCCACTTTCGCCCCATTTCATGTCTGCTATCATGTGAATATGTGAATATTACTTTGTTTTTACAGTATCAGCCTGATTATGTGAACACATACCTTCTTATTCAAGATTCCTTGACATTCAAGGAACAAAACCAGTCTGGCTAAGAGAAAAAGTAAGACAGAGATGTCATACTGTCATTCTGAATGAGAAAGAGTGCAGTATTGTACAGGGCTGAGATAGAGAGCTGTAGTCACTGAGAGGTCCTATAGTGTGCTTGTTCTCCAGTCTCGGAAAGGAGGAATCGCTGTCCTCCTCATATTTCGTCTAGGTAGAGCGTCACACTTGCAGCCTCTCCTCAGCAGGAAGAGGCACTGATCTTCTCTGATACTTCAAGATCTGATTTGGCGACAAGAAACCGGAGCCGTCCTCCCCCCAGACGAATCAAATCGACTGCACTGTGAGAGACAGACAAAGCGGGATTCAAATGTCAGGGTTAAAAGAACACATTTATATTGCAAAGGATCATGCCTGGTGAAAATGTTAAGTTAAAACTTTGATTGCAAACATTAACTGCTGGCCGATGATGTATATAGAGCACTGACCTCTGGTAGTCTGCCCCAATGAGACTGGTCCCATTCACTGCCAGGATTCTGTCACCAATGCAAAGTCGCCCATCTGCAGCAGCTGGTCCATCTGGAATCAGTGTCCTGATGTAGATTCCAGGAGAGTTCAGAGGGGTGTGCTATATATTGCGAGAATGAGAAAACAGAGACCTGTTTGTTGCCTGTTTCCTTTAAAACAGAAAATCATAGTGAAAGAAAGTTTCATCAAGCTAGTATTTTTTTTACAGCTCATGATATAAATCAGAACTTTGTGTTATTTTTTCACCACTTTTAGCTTGCATGCAAACAAATGATCTAACACATAATCAGGAAAATAGAAACTGATCAGCACAAAATGTAAAAGTCTTTTATTTTTTTTCTGTTTTATAATAATAATATTGAGAGTTGAAAATACGAGCTCTGTTCCAAAGCCTAAGCTGCCTTGCTGTCTATAAATATAATAGTTTCTCTTAACATGTCAATTGTATTGGATGATTTTTAATTAGCCTGTTGCAAAACATTCTGGGATTACCATGGAGGATGTAATACTGCATTATATTTGGGCTAAATCGGGATATAAAGCAGCATCATTTTGCTGGTGACGTTTTTTGAACACCTTCAAGTAGTGAGTGTCTTTATGATACTCTTATTGGAAAAATGTGTCTGCTGTGTCATTCCTGCAAGTTGCTTCTTGAATGCTTCCCTACACTTTCAAAGTGAAATGTCCAGTGAGTGACATTGAAGGACATTTAGTTTTATCTGAAACGGATAAATGTGAATCTGGCAACATTTCATGATGTTGATTGATGTACGTATCGCAGCCATTCGGAAATGTGTGGCGCTTAAAAGGTTAATGCTCCATCACATTTGAAAACCACTAAACCTAACCAGTAGTGTTAACAAAAGCAAAATGAAGTAAAAACATATTTGCTGAAGCAACCATGACATTTTATCTTGGTTCTACA